ATGCAAGGTCAATGGCGTGTCACTATTTCCCGATATGTCCCGAGCCACATTTGACCATGGGTGGGACCAAGCATACTGACCTCGGGTTCCTCACCTTGCTCCTCCAAGATAGTGTCGGCGGCCTTCAAGTTCTTCATCAAGGTGTTTGGATTGATGTTCCTCCGGTCAAGGGTGCGTTGCTGGCCAATATTGCTGACATGACGCAGGTACTGTCACACTTTCAGCTAACCAATTTTCTATACATTAATTATATATTTATAAATTTACTCATATGGAATATATATTTCTATTATTTTGTTAAACTATTTATTTATTCCTGATCATAAATTAATAACTATCTTATCTTCTATGTTTGTGCTTACAATATTCATCTATAAATAATATTTAAAATAATCTATTGTTATTGTTAGTATACAATTCTATCCGTATATGTGTATCTAAGCTAATATAAAAATTACATATTTTATGGGTACTAGTATTTTTTGTGAAATCTGGACGTTTCCCTTTCTACTAGTAGAGCTATAATATATAAGACTGGATAGCGGTTTTACCGTGCAGTGATAAGTTTCAAAAAATATATATAAGAGTGAATAATATATTCCCCAATCTCTCATTGTCTCAAGTTCTAGTCTTTAATTTTAAAATTATATTAAAATGGTGCGTAAACTCTAAACTATTAGTAAATATAGAAATTTTAATAAGAAATGACATTACCAATTGATATTGGACCAATCACATGCATATTTGTATTCTAGTTGTTGATGTCATTTTTTGTAAATTGGTCTTTATTTGTGATTTAAGATTTAAGGACGGTTTTGACACAATTTTAAAATCTAAGAATAATTTAATTATCATAAAAATAATTTTATTCGTGATAAATTTGCAATATTATTTTTGACATAAACAGTAATGTTTAATAAATTAAACTATACTTAACTAAAATATACTCCCTCTGTTCCCAAATATTTGTCTTTCTAAAGATTTCAACAAGTGACTACATACGAAGCCAAATGAGTGAATCTACACTCTAAAATATGTCTACATACATCGGTATGTTGTAGTCCATTTGAAATGTTTAGAAAGATAAACTTTTGGGAACAGAAGGAGTATGTTGTTACTCACCATAATACCATACACCATCATTGATCTCTATGATGGATTGTTTGAATTCCAATTCTTATTTGTCCTTTTTGAAATTGTGCAGATTATTACAAACGGGAAGTTCAAGAGCGTGGAGCACCGAGTTGTGCTAAGACCAACTGTAGAGCCACGTATCTCAATTGCATGCTTTCTAAGCACTGATGATCTTGATAGGCCATATGGGCCGATAAAGGAGCTTTTAGCACAAGACAACAAGCCCATTTATGAGCAAGTCATATTCGGTGAATACATGAAGAAGTATAAACTATAAATTACATCAACGGGTGTTGGATTCTGTATATTACATCCTCCTAGAATAAGGTTGTGATTGGTGACATTAATAATGTGGAACAGTGGAAGCATAAAAAATTATAGATTTTAAGAGATATTGTGCAATGTATCTTCTTTTCATAATCGATGCGGTGTATGGTTTGCTGAATAATTATTGAGAATTTTAATGCGTGTCCATTTATTGTATCTTTAGAGCAACTCCAATGGGGTGATCCAAACGGATGGTGATTTTGTCCGCTTTTTGTCTGTTTGGTCAGCCGCCCGCCCATCGTCCGTCCTATTTTAGATATGGGTCGGCAGCACGCGCAACGCGCCGACCCATATGTGTCGGCGTGGCCGGCTGGCCGGCCTATTTTGCATTGATGAATTTGCATTTAAACATATAGTCAAATAACATAGTTTGAACCGAATAAAATAGCATAGTTTTACAAGACAAATAAAATTAAAATGTCTGACATAGTTCTCACATAGTTTGCAATCGAATAAAAAAAGATACATCTATTGGTTGCCAACATGAGCTCACATATGCTCAACCGAATTATTTTGCAGTTGCACATGAGTTTCCCAATCACGCATGTCATGATGAAATTGGGTGAACTGTTCAAATGTTGCCCCTCCTCCATGCTCAGGCACAACATTCTCACCCTGAAACTGAAACCCTTGATCGTACAGACGTTCTGGGCGCTCGTCTTCTATGATCATATTGTGCATGATCACACAAGCAGTCATCACCTCCTACAGTTTCTGCATGCTCCAAGTATTAGCAGGATACTGAATGATGCCCCATCGAGATTGCAAAACACCAAAGGCACGCTCGACATCCTTCCTAGCACTCTCTTGCTCTTGGGCAAATCTTTTCATCTTCTCTGGGTTGGGTATTGTCTTGACAATAGTGGTCCACTAAGGATAGATATTGTCACCCAGGTAGTATCCTTTGTCATAGTTGTGGCGGTTGACAGTAAAGTTCACCGGTGGGATGTTGCCTTCGGCAAGCCTAGCAAACACCGGCGAGCGTTGAAGCGCGTTGATATCATTGTGTGATCCAGCCATTGCCAAAGAAAGTGTGCTAGATCCAGAGATCTTGAGACGCCACGGACTCTAGTATGACAGTGCAAGCCCTGACATGGCCCTTATACTGCCCTTGCCAAGAAGAAGGGCAGTTCTTCCACTCCCAGTGCATGCAGTCTATGCTACCCAGCATCCCTGGGAAGCCCCTGCTGGCATTCATCGCCAACAAACGGGTTGTGTCTTCAGCAGTCGGCTCTCTCAAGTACTCAGGGCCAAACACAGCAATAACAGTCTTGCAGAACTATACAGGGACTCTAGGCATGTAGACTCGCTTATACGGATATGCAAGCATTCGGATGGCGGCAGTGCATTTCTGATAAGAGGAAAAACCAATCTTGCCAACGGCATCCTCTTTGCACTTGAAAATAGTCATCCTAGGCGACCACCCCCTCTCTAATACGGTTGAAAAGATGCCTACTCATACGGAAACGGCGGCGGAATTTTTGATGTTTGAACAACGGGTTTGTTGTATCAAAGTAGTCCTTCCAAAGAAGGAAATGCCCGCTCTCTCGGTTGAGATTCAACGTCGGAAGGTGGCCCGGAATGGAGCCACCGAACAATGGCCGCTGGTTGTTGAGGTGGTGATGGACCAACACGGCAAGCCATTATCTCCTCCTCTTCATTGGACAATGAATCGTCGGAGTCGCAAAGAAAATTGTGAAAAAAGAACTCGTCGGCGGAGTCCATTTTGTACCTTGGCAAACTGTTGAACAACTTATGGGCGTCGACGAAGGAGACGGCCGGCGAAGGGAGTCGCGGCATGCACGAACCAGCTAGCTGCCTTACCGGCGTCCGACGAGTGGGCCGGCGTCCGACGAGCGTGTCGGTGAGGATCTGGCGGGGCGGCGAGGCGGCTTCTTGGTCGGGGGCGGCTGTGTAGTGAGGGGTAGAAGCAGTTGGCTATCCGGCGACAAGACGGTGGTGGCGGGTGACGTGGGAGTGGACGGCGTTGTTGGGCGGATGTGGAGCCGCCGACAGTTGGCAGAGTCGCTGGCAAAAATGGGCGGCGGCGTCGGCGACGAAGAAGGCATGCGAGGGTTGCTGTTGGATAGGGGGAGGCCATTATGCCACCGATCAGCGGGCCCGGGGAAAGAGAAGGCGAGCGGGCACGTGTCTGCGCTGACGCAAATCCGGCTCAAAAATGGGCCGGGAATGGGTCGCCCGCGGACGAAAAGCGGACGCGTGTTGAACCGCCTTTTATATCCGCGCCGACCCAAACAGACGGCGACGAACGAAATGAGTCGCTCCATTGGAGTTGCTCTTATGATCATATCGACGTCCTCGGCGACTTTGCCGCTCCGACGAGCTGCAGCGAACGCTAGCGGCCTTGACGACATCTTCTTGGCTATGTTTCATGTGACATTCTTCAAGTGCGGCAGAGTGTGCCTTGGGGCGGTGGACGTCAGGGAGGCGAGGGGCGACGTTGGTGTCCCAGTGGCTAAACATATTTGCATGTAGCAAGAACTTTATCAAGACCTACTCAAACATCATTGAAGCATATATAATTTGGTGGTAGACATAAAGAATAGACAACAATCGGGTAATTATTATAAAATCCAGGCAAGAATATTGATACCCATCTTGTTGTATTTTGTTTGAGTTTCGCAATATTTATAAAGCATTCAACATAGTACAGTATTAAAAAAATACGCATATATTTCATCTTAATTATGAGGCATTGCTAAGTGTCGTCTCATTAAGCTTTTTGATTTTAAATCCTAAGATTACCAAGCTAATAAGTTGGTACTATCCGTAGCTTCCCTTTATCCGTAGTTCCTTTTGTGAAGGCAGCCAAATATGCTCCAGAGGTTGAAATTGTGATACAGTGAGTGAAGAAAAACAGAGTAATGCACGGGAGAAGAGGTTGAATGCAGACCGCGACCACGACCAGCGCTATCGTCGTCAACATCGGTAAGAATCAACCTGCCTGCAACTGCAATACACCTCTGCTTGGATCCGATCAACATTCAGCATCACTCACTCCTGCCTGCAGTTATCACTGAAACTGAACAGCTGTTTTTTTTCAAAATGAAGTTGAGATACACTCTTGTCTTCAAACTTGTGCTTGAGGATTAAGAAACTCAACTTGAGATGCACTGCACTAACATATGCATATGCATATGCATATGCTCTGCTCCCATTCCCATATGGAGTGGAGTAGGTCATGGAGTTGCTAACATAACTCCATCATCCATTCATTCATTTGCTTGCATAGACAATAGAGTTTGTAACTCCATTTCTCTCTCCAATATCTCATCTCATCTCATCTCAATGGGATGCCTACATTACAAACTCCATACGGTACGGTAGAGAGACCCTAAAGTTACTTAACACAGACAGACAGACAGACACCAAGTCAAGTATATACATCACACCCAGGGCAGCAACACCAACACAAGTATATATATATATAGAGAGAGAGAGCCTACCAACGAACGAAGAACGATGATGATTTGGAGGAACCGTTTAGTTTAGTTCTCACCGGCTGGCCGGTAGCTCAGTCACCTCCAGACACCAACCAACACAAGCACAAGCAGAGGGGCCATCACCAGGAGCGCCACCCACAGGGACCTCCGCACGGCGGTTTCTGAAGATGAATCTCCAGGGCCAGGCACGCAGCCACTGTTGCGCACGAGTCCGTCCTGGTCGTGCCCGTTTTGACCCGAGTCCTGCTTCACCCTCTGCTTCAGACCGGCTCCACGACGCGGCTTGCCATCTTCTTCTTGTTCCAATATGCTGTTATCTGCACGGCACCGAATTTACCAAACACCTCAGCTTAGCCACAGCTCGCCATACGGGCACTAAGCCATCCTTTCTCTTTCAAAATTGAACAAGGCTTATTTATTACGTACCACTGAATGATAGATGCTGGAGCTTGTCTGCAACTTCCACGGGAGAAACCAGCAGCGCTTGAGCAGGAGCCATGTTATGCATCAGATCTCCAGCCTGAGCAAGACAGACATATTATGATGAGTACAAAATACTAATAAGTAGACTTGCTCTCAGTCTTTTTTCAAACATAACTCAAGGTAAGTCTGAACCATACATACCATAGTTTGGAAAAGTGCATCATTGACATGATCATCCTCCTCATGGTTGCTGGATGAACTTTCTGTGCTACAGCCTGCTGATTCGCCCTCACCTTCTTCGCTTTCCGAGTCACAAGCTAATATAGGCTGAGACGCCGATGCCCTGTCAACAGCGTACGCAAGCCGGATCCTCCTTGCCGCAATCCCTTGTTGCAGGTCCATCAACTCTACTGGAGCTGTGGGCTGCTGCTGCGCCGAGGGTGCTGCCCCCATAGAGCCCATATCTTGGCCAATTGAATTTATTATGTCGCTCCTGCCCGATTCTAGCATAGAGTCCAACAGATCTTCAGGATAAGGAGTCCATGAGCCTGTAGGATTGGACGCGCCCGTTTCGTCATAGGCTGGAGTGAGCAGGATGTCATCCAGATTTATGGTACCGTCCTGATACATGGAGAAGTCATGCTGCGCATCACCCATGTTGCCAATGAAAGGGAACTCCGTGTAAGGACGCATCGGGGAATTGAACATAGGGAATTCATCGTATCTCTGATGCTCGGCCTGTAGCTCTATGTCTGGAAGCTGCTCCAACGAAGCCATAAAAGCATCCTGCAATTTAATTTATGGATAAGAAAAGACACACACACATTTCTCAGTCAACTGAAAGACAGGAGAACAGGCTCAAGATAATATAATGTACTCAGGAAAGGGAAAACAAGCAGTTGACCTGATCCGCTGACTGCTCTGCGGCGCCGGTGGCTGTGGCTGCAAGAACATGGGCCGTGGAGGAGTGATCATTAGTAACATTGGTCGGAGTCAGCTGGGTCGAATCAGATGGCGAGGCCTTGTCTTCCACCATGGAGGCGCTGGCCGTGTCGTCGGCTTGCTGTAGCAGCGGATTGGCTGGAGGCGACGTGGACGGGGGTTCTGAAATGGGCGCCGGGGCCTCTTCGTCCTGCTTGTTGAACAGGCGGTACAGAACAAAGCTATCCTGAAGAAACAAATTAACAAGAAGACATTTGGAGAGGCATCAGGTTATATATATACATAGTTTATCATCTTGGAAGCATGTACTGTCCTATTGTAATGGCAAAATTCGAATATACATAGTGTTTATGACAAGTTGACAAACAATTTCCAGTGGAATCCTGTATAGGAGTGAGCGAGGTACACTGACTGACTGTGCCTGCACAATGGATATTCATCGTCTTGCAAGTATGGCCAACCCTATTGTTATGGCAGAATTGGCCCAAGAACAGGGTGAGGCTGCAAATGGTACTGCTAAGCTAGCTAGCTAGCACATTCATATTCATATTGATCATAGAGAAGAAAGAAAGGAGCAACCCTGAGGAAACAAGAAGAAGATATTTTGACACATATTCATATTCATCCTGCCAATAAGTATGCTATGTCCTCCTATCCTAGTGTTCAAATCCTGTCAAGACTGCAAACTGTACCTATTTAAGCTAGCTATCACATTCATATCCATAGTACTCCCTCCGTTCTTTTTTTTATAAGTCGTTTCAGACAGCTGAAATTGAGCTGTTTTGCACGCTGTCTAAATGTCTGCAACGTCTTATAAAAGTGAAGAGAGGAACGAGCAAGTGAATGAGATGCAATATTCTAATTGTGAAGAAACAAAATAGATGAGTTGAACTGAAATTGGAGCAGAGCAGTACAAGAGGCAGAGGATCTGATGTGGTTGGACTAAGTTATCCTTTGCTCCCTAGATAAAGAAATAAAGAGGAACACATTTCGACAGACAGCCTTAGAGTTATGTAAAGTTGACAACCGATAATAAATATCCTAACTGCTGGCTGCAAATAGCTTGGTACTGCTAACACTTATGTAAAGTTGAGATGGAAGCAGAGCAGAGAAAAACAATTGAGCACATTCATATTCATATCATATCCATATCCATACTAGGTAGTATAAATAATTGAGAAGCAAGCAGCTGAATGAGATGCTACAAGAGGCAGAGTATCTATCTACTGTATCTGATTTGACTAGTCCCACTTAGTTATATGTGCCTGACTCACTGACTGACTGCAACCCTAACTTGGTATCTATCTTCTGATTTGTTGCCAATAAGCAAGCTAGGTAACACATTGGCATCCATGGCATGGCAGAAAGAAAGAAAGAAAGAAAGAATTACTCTACTCTACTTATTCAAGCTGAAATCAAATCAAATCAAATCAGTGGAAGCAGAGCAGAACGATAAGAGGAAGGGGAAAAGTTACATTTTGGGGGCCTGCAGATTGGGATTGGGATTGGGACTGGGATTGGGACTGGGATTGGGGGTTTGGGTCGGTGGCGGTGTACTCGTGCATGATCCACGGGGTGCGTGCGCCGCGTGGGGCGCGGCCGCGGTGGAACACCAGGGTCTTCTTCACGCCGATGAGGGCGCCCTTCCCCCTGCAGCCCCCCGGGCCGGGTCCGCGGATGAGTCGGTCCTTGCCGGTGGCCTTCCAGTACCCGGCGGCGGTGGAGCGGCAGGAGCGGGAGGACTTGCCGGGGTACTTGGGGCGGTCGCGGCGGGCGAAGAAGAACCACTCGGGGTCGTCCGACTTGATGACGGAGCGGGCGGGGAGGTCCCAGGGCTCCACCGCCGCCAGGTCCACGTCCGGGATCGCCAGCAGGTCCGGGTGCGCCCGCCCCGCGATCTTGGCCTTGAGGTAGTGCCGCACCAGCTCCTCGTCCGTCGGACGGAACCGGAACCCCACCGGAAGCACCGCCGGGGTCGAGGAGGAGGACGACGACTCCGACCCCGCCGCGGTCGTCGTCATCGCTGGCTGGCTAAAGACTCTGCTTTTCTTTCTTTCTTTCTGACTGTCCGGGAGCAGAGCAGAGGAGAGGGGAAGCAGAGCAAGAAAGACAGTGGTGAATGGATGGATGGTTTTTCTACTCCCCCTCCCTTTTCAACTCTCTCTCTCTCTCACTTTTTGGTTTCCCAATTTCTCAAAAAATAAAAATAAAATCTTTTGGTTTCCCAAAACTTACAAACCCCCCTCGATGGCATCTACAATCTATCTATTTGAGCACAAAGTGAGAGATAACGATGTAAATGCGCTCTCGCTGCGTCGTATCTTTAGGTTGTATCGCGTGCATTAAATGTAGGGTAATCTTAACGATTGTTGGTAGTATCTACTTGTTGTGTGCTTGAGCTTTTATTGCCACGCATAATGTGACGACCCTCCATGACGTATTCCTACTAATTAATGCGTCGAAAGTGCGTTACGGCTCATCTTTGTGGACCACTTCTTTTTTCTCGTCATGCTCGTTTTCAACCCTCTATTGCCAAACTTATAAACACCCTCCATCTATTTAAGCACAAATGCAACATATATTTATATAAGGTTGTAACGCATTGATTAAATGAAAATCTCGATGTCATGCTTTCAGTGCTGTCTAGAAGCTTTTATTGCCCCACCTAACATGATTTAATCAATAAAATATTTGCATTCATTGGTCAGATGCGCATTATGATTAGTCCATGGTACGTATCTTGGTTGGCATCTTCGGTTTTACATCACCCGTTGACCAGTGGTACTACCGTCACTCATGGCTATGTAAGTATCAATCATTTATTTACAAGGAACCCGTGAACAAATTGAAGATCACAACAAAGAGCACGCATGTCAAGCAAGGGAAATTGAAAGCACAGACAGGACCTTGGACAAAATAGTTAAAGCGTAGTCGGCTATGGTTTCCTTGTCCACTTTTTGCTTGTTGTTTTCAACTATCTCTCTCTCACTTTTTGGTTTCCCAATTACTCAAAAAAAAAACTTTTTGGTTTCCCAACACATACAAACTCCTGCATCTACAATCTATTTATTCGAGCACAAAGTAAGAGATAACGATGTAAATGCGCTCTCGATGCGTCGTATTTTTAGGCTATATCCCGTCCATTAATGAAAATCTTGACGCTACGCTTCCGATTGTCAATAGTATCTACTTTTTGTGTCCATGAGCTTTTATTGCCGCGCATAATGTGACGATCATCCATGGCATATTCATATTAATTAATGCGTCGAAAGTGTGTTACGGCTCATCTTTGTTAACCATTTTTTTTTCTCGCCATGGTCGCTTTCAACCCTCTCACACTGTTTTGTTGCCAAACTTACAAACCCCTCCATCTATTTAAGCACACAATCACAAATGCGCCATATATTTATATAAGGTTGTAACGCATGGATTAAATGAAAATCTCGATGTCATGCTTTCAATGATGTCATGCTTTCCCAAAACTTACAAACACCCGCATCTATTTGAGAATAAAGTAAGAGATAACGACATAAGGGCGCTCTCGATGCATCATATTTTAAGGTTGTATAGCAGGCATTTAATGGAATTTTTGATGTGATGCTACCAATGGCATGTATCTATTTGTTGTGTCGATGATGTGATCGATCCGTGGCATATTCGCATTTACGCGCCGAAAACACGTTACCATTGACCTTTGTTCTCCACTTTTTCCTTGTCATGGCCATTTTCAACTCTCTGGTAACATTTTTGTTGTCTATTTAAGCACAAAAGCATAAGCTAAGGTACAAGGACACTCCTAGTGCATCGTATCTTGAGGTTATATCATGTGCATTAAATGGGAAATTTGATGTGATGCTTGGTCTACTTATTTTGTCGATAAGCTTTTATGCCGCCCATAATATGATTGATCTGTGACATGTTCACTTTTATGCGCCTGAAGTGTGTTATGAATGATCTTTTGTTGGCATCCATAGCTGTTTGTATATCACACACTCCCCCTCCCCCGTCCCCACGCTCGCGCCGCCTCACCGGGGGGCGGCCGGGGCGGCCCCCATCGAGCTCCTCTCCTCCCCCCTCCCCCGTGCTCCTCCCCCCGCCGCCGCCAGCGGAGCCCCTAGATCTGGCCGGGCGGGCTGGCAGCGGCGGGCCCTTCCTTCCCCCCCGCGCGCTCCCCCTGCCCCGGGGACAGGGCTGGCGGCGGGTGCCCTTCGGCCGGCGGCGGCCCGACGGCCTGGTGGCAGCTGGCGGCGGCCTGGCGCGGTGGTGGCACCGTCCTTTGGCGGCGGGGCGGCTTGGTGGCGCTGGTTGGCCGGCGGCGCGCCCGGCCCAGATCTGGGCCCTCGGGGCTCTATCTGGGTCCTTGCGGGCCGGCCTCCGGGCGTGTCCTCGTTGTCTGCGGCGTGGTGAGGAGGAGGAGCAGCTCGGTCTTGGGGCGGCGACTCCGACGGCGTGCTGGCAGCAGCGCGAAGGCGGGAGCTTTACGAGCCCACGAGGGCTCGGCCGGGCCTGGTGTGCTCTTGCTATTGCGTCCGGACGGCTACCGTCGCTGACGGTGGAGGTGGGGCCCTCCCGCGTGCCGACGGGTTGTTGCCCTAGTCCCGGCTCTGATTCCTTGCTGTGCTGTCCTCACTTCACGGTGTCGTGGTGAGACGGCATGGGGGTCTCGTGACCACGTTGGCGCACGGTGGTGGTTGGTTTGGTGGCAGGCTCCGGGGCGCCCGAGGTGCGGGTTGGGATCGGGGGAAACCCCTGTCGGCATGGCCGACACCGGCGCGGTGGCGCCTGTGGGTGCCTCCTGACCTTCTGGGAGGGCGTCGGGGCTACCCTTCCTCTCGCCTCGTCGTGTACCGGGGGAAACCCTTGGCAGCGTCGTCGTCATCGTCGCGATCCTTCTTGGAGGTGTTGATAGGTGTCGGCGCTTCGGAGTCTTGGAGTCTAGTGGAAGAGCCTGGTGGGCGCTGCGATCGCGAGGCTTCTTCGCTTTTGTTGATCCGCCGTTGTCGGCATTCGTTTCTTTTGCTTTTCTCTGTCGTTTCTTTTTGGGCGTGTCTGTGCTGCTTCCGCCCCAGCACCTTTCCTGTATGGTTCGGTTGGTTGCTTTGTATACAAAGCGGGGGGAAACTCTTTTTCGGTATATCACACACTAATCGGTGATGCCGCCATCTCTCATGACTATGTCGACAACAATCCTTTTGTTTTACATAAGTGACTGTGAACAAACAAAGATCACAACACATCCCAAAACACGACAACCAAAGCAAGATAATATTAGAAATAAGTCGTACAACCATGCCAACACTTCCCCTGTCTCTTCTGCTCTCTTTCTAGCCGAGATGAGAGGGAGCGGAGAGCAAGCAGCAAGCAACAACACACCATGGGGTCACTCACCCAAACACATCGTTTTTTCCTCTCCACTTTCCCCCTTTGTGTCCAATGATTGCTTGAACTCTCTCTCTCTCTCTCTCTCTCTCTCTCTC